CGCCCATTTAAGCGGATTGCCCCGGCCGCAAGAGGCCATTCGCTAGCCAATGTGGGCCACAGAACCTGGCACATGGAATGCACCCGTTGATGACGGCGCAACTTAAGTGTTGACACTAACGCAGCTAGGCCGGAACGGAGACAGAGAGCGAGAGAGCAAGAGAGCAAGAAAGATCGAGAATCAGTTAACTGTGTGAGACCGAGGGCGAGAGAGAGAGAAAGAGAGGGAGACAGAGAGATTGAGAGAGGTGCAGCGACAACATTTGGTCGCCTGTCATCCGCATATTTGTGACCACAGCTTGGCTGCACTTCAATGAGCCCCAGGCCCCAAGAAGAAGAAACCACTGTGGAGCAGCGCAGTAGTGGAGGCTGACTGACCTAAACATACCCTGTAAAGTTTACTAGACTTAATTATCAATATACCAATGACAATTTAATAATATACATATATAGAATTTCATTTAATAAAACGCATAAATATATAAAGCTGCAGACCCTCTCTCTCTTTCTTTCTCAAAGACAAAGTATACTTTAATGGAAACCAATTCTGATTCTGATTTGATTTTTTCCAATATTTACCGATTTTAAAATGGCATTGCCTTATTTTGTAAATATTCAAAAACAAATAGTACTATAAATCGATCTTTATCGATATATGCACCTGCTCAACTGTCCATATTATAGGGTAAGCGAAAAATAACAATAAAGAAGAAAAACAAAAACAGCAAACAGAAAACTTTCTGTTGCAGCCATTAAAATTGGCCTGGCCAAGACGAAGCCAACCGCGCTGCAAGCTAGCTAGAGCCCGAAAACCTGTTATCGATTTGAGGAAAATCTCATAGCGCTATACACACACACATATATATTTTCCAGCTGTGTGCGTGTGTGTGTGTGAGCTGGAAATTCGAAAAACTTTCAATAATGCCCGTGCCAAGCGATTGGGAAACGTGAGAAGCGGCTCAAATTGCTTTTGCTATTGGCTTTGATCATCATCAGCAAAAAGCAACAACAACAACTGCAACAACTGTGACAACAGCAGCAGCAGAAGCAACAGCAGCAATTGCAAACAAGTTTTTCCAGTGCGAATGTCAATCTGTTAAATCCGCCAACCAACTGGATGCCAGGATGCAAGATGCACAGCAAAAGATACAAAGATACAAATATGCAAAAGATACAAAAGATGCAAAAGCTGAGCGACGGCCGCTTGACTGACTGAGCCAGTGCCAGGGCAGCGATCGAGCAACAACCTTTGCAGCAGCAGACAAAGAAGAAGAGGAAGTAGAAGTAGAAGTGGAAGTAGAAGTAGAAGTGGAAGTAGAAGTAGAAGTAGAAGTAGAAGTAGAAGTAGAAGTAGAAGTAGAAGTAGAAGTAGAAGTAGAAGTAGAAGTAGAAGTAGAAGTAGAAGTAGAAGTAGAAGTAGAAGTAGAAGTAGAAGCAGAAGCAGAAGTAGAAGTAGAAGCAGAAGTAGAAGCAGAAGCAGAAGCAGAAGCAGAAGCAGAAGCAGAAGCAGAAGCAGAAGCAGAAGCAGAAGCAGAAGCAGAAGCAGAAGCAGAAGCAGAAGCAGAAGCAGAAGCAGAAGCAGAAGCAGAAGCAGAAGCAGAAGCAGAAGCAGAAGCAGAAGCAGAAGCAGAAGCAGTAGAAGCAGAAGTAGAAGCAGAAGCAGAAGCAGAAGCAGAAGCAGAAGCAGAAGCAGAAGCAGAAGCAGAAGCAGAAGCAGAAGCAGAAGCAGAAGCAGAAGCAGAAGCAGAAGCAGAAGCAGAAGCAGAAGTAGAAGTAGAGAAGCAGAAGCAGAAGCAGAAGCAGAAGCAGAAGCAGAAGCAGAAGCAGAAGCAGAAGCAGAAGCAGAAGCAGAAGCAGAAGCAGAAGCAGAAGCAGAAGCAGAAGCAGAAGCAGAAGCAGAAGCAGAAGCAGAAGCAGAAGCAGAAGCAGAAGCAGAAGCAGAAGCAGAAGCAGAAGCAGAAGCAGAAGCAGAAGCAGAAGCAGAAGCAGAAGCAGAAGCAGAAGCAGAAGCAGAAGCAGAAGCAAAGAAGTAGAAGCAGAAGCAGAAGCAGAAGCAGAAGCAGAAGCAGAAGCAGAAGCAGAAGCAGAAGCAGAAGCAGAAGTAGAAGCAGAAGCAGAAGTAGAAGCAGAAGCAGAAGCAGAAGCAGAAGCAGAAGCAGAAGCAGAAGCAGAAGCAGAAGCAGAAGCAGAAGCAGAAGCAGAAGCAGAAGCAGAAGCAGAAGCAGAAGCAGAAGCAGAAGCAGAAGCAGAAGCAGAAGCAGAAGCAGAAGCAGAAGCAGAAGCAGAAGCAGAAGCAGAAGCAGAAGCAGAAGCAGAAGCAGAAGCAGAAGCAGAAGCAGAAGCAGAAGCAGAAGCAGAGAAGCAGAAGCAGAAGCAGAAGCAGAAGCAGAAGCAGAAGCAGAAGCAGAAGCAGAAGCAGAAGCAGAAGCAGAAGCAGAAGCAGAAGCAGAAGCAGAAGCAGAAGTAGAAGCAGAAGCAGAAGCAGAAGCAGAAGCAGAAGCAGAAGCAGAAGCAGAAGCAGAAGCAGAAGCAGAAGCAGAAGCAGAAGCAGAAGAAGCAGAAGCAGAAGCAGAAGCAGAAGCAGAAGCAGAAGCAGAAGCAGAAGCAGAAGCAGAAGTAGAAGCAGAAGCAGAAGCAGAAGCAGAAGTAGAAGCAGAAGCAGAAGCAGAAGCAGAAGTAGAAGTAGAAGTAGAAGTAGAAGTAGAAGTAGAAGTAGAAGTAGAAGTAGAAGTAGAAGTAGAAGTAGAAGTAGAAGTAGAAGTAGAAGTAGAAGTAGAAGTAGAAGTAGAAGTAGGAGTAGAAGTAGAAGTAGAAGTAGAATATATCCGAATAAAGCAAAGATCTTGAAGAGACCCCCATCAACGGCCAAGTTGACCTTCACAGCAATGCAAAGTGCATTTGATGTGATCAGACTTGAAATCAAGGCGATTTTCTGTATATTATGATAATAATATAATATTATTATCTCAAACAGATTTCTATCCAATCTGAAGTCATTTCAAGACGATGGACTAGAAGAAGCAGAAGATAGCAATGATCGCTTAGGTCAAATATGAGACGATCTTTCTATGTGGAGTGTAAGAGAAGAGATTACGATCAAGTTTGAGACATTAGTTTAAAGTTGTATTAGCTAAAATATAAGTTTAAGCATACGTATAAATATATGTATGTAAGCAATTTGAGTTTTTCTATGCAACATATCCTCTTCTATATTTCAAAGCGTCAAAGACCATCTTCCCATGTGTTCTAAAAGATATATGCTAGACATGTGCCATTAGAGCTCTTTAAAGAGCAAACAGGTTCTATCTAATATAAATTATGATAATTATACAATAATGCCAGTCTTATAATTCCTTCTAATAGATAATAGATATAATCGTCTTCTAATTGCCTAAGATCTCATCAGCTCTACAGCACAGTCACAGACACTTGAGAGCAAATTACGCAAACATTTTTGCAAACATGATCTCAGTTAATTGTAAGCAACAACAACAACAACAGCAGCAGCAGCAAAACGAGCTAAAGGTGTGCGTAGAATCATCTTCTGCTTGGAATGTCAACAATTCCAATTGCATATTCTTATTGGCATTCGCATGTGCCCACGCACAGTCTATATATGTATATATAAATATATATATTTGTATATATCTATAGATTCTGCTTGCTCAAATAAATACAAATTTATGAAATCTTTTACTTTGACAGCATTTTTGGCATTTTGAAACACGTTTACAGGTGTTTCTCGTTGTTGTTGTTGTTTTTGTGCCTGCAAGCTCAAGTCTGTACATACATATGTTTCTATGTATATCTGTATATACATATGTACACGTATAGATATTTTCACAGCCAAACGAGTTTCGAAATGTGCGATCTTTTTGTTAACTGGGTAATATTCATATATTTAGCTAATCCACTGGAGGGTATATGCACGTAACTAGTCGGTATGTAACACCTGTGACTATTTATCTATCTCTCTCTCTCTCGCTATCTCTCTCTCTTTCACTCTCTCTCTCTCACTTTCTCTCTCTCACTTTCTCTCTCTCACTTTCTCTCTCTCTCACTCTTTCTCTCTCTCTCTCTTTCTCTCTCTCTCTTTCTCTCTCTCTCTCTGTCTATTTCTGTCCCTCTCTGCGTCTCTCTTTATCTATTGCTCTCTCACTATATCTAGTAGGGTATTTGGGCATGGGCATACCATAGCTACCTTTGCCTATCTCGCTTTTTCATTTCGCCATAAAATATGTTCCCATTGCCAATTTGAATATGTCGAAACTATTAAAAGAACGCTTCTCCTTGTATCTGTTCGCTTCCCTATTGCTTTCATTACCCAATTCGAAGCGTGTGTTGCCTCTGCGTTCATTCACCAATTGGAATCTCGGCTCCCATTCGTTTTCCATTCCACATTTTTAAATCCGCGTGCCTTCCCTGTTCATTTCTTCCAATTAGAAACTCCTTCTAATGTTCTGTTTCTTCCCTTTGCAAATTCGCTCTTACACCGTTTCTATTTCTTCATATTATAGTTCCTTTTCTGTTGGTAACCTTTCATAGTCAATTAATTCCTAATTAGAATTTGTATTACCTCGGCTGCTCTCTGACTTCTGTGACCTGTTTATTTCCAAATGGCGCATGTTCATCCATTCCATTTTTCATTGGAATATCTTATCTCACCTCTTGCTTTCGATTCCAGTTGTATTGCATACCAGCAATTCATTTCCATTATTTTCCCTTGGAATCTCTTTGCATTTCACGGCTCGCTTTCCTGTTCCCTACTAATTCCAATTGGATAGCGTTGCTTTATTCCGTTTCTAATCATTCCACATTGATAAATTCCTTGTCTATCCCAATTAGAATCAATTTTTTGCATTTCCACTCTCTTCCTTATTCAATTCGGCATATTTTGATTCTGCCAACAATAACTTTAAATTTATTCACAAAGCTTATAAATTATTTTAAAAAAAAATTATTTTGTCAACATTTCAAATTGATGTTAAGCTCCTTCTTGGCTCAGTACCAACTGCGCGAATAGGCGTTTGCCTTGGCATAAGCATTGCTGCTGCTGCCGCCTCCTCCTCCATGACTGTAGCTGTTGGCGCTGCTGCTGGCATAGGAGCCACCCCCGCCGCCGCCACCCCAGCCGCCACCACCGCCTGGATGAACACCGGCCCCACCGCCTGGATGACCTCCGCCGCCACCGCCTGGATGTCCTCCGCCGCCACCGCCACCGCCACCGTAGTGTCCTCCTCCCCCACCGCCGCCTTGATAGATGGGCTTAACCACATACACCTCATATATGGCTGGCTTATGGATAACGCCGCCGCCTGGATGGCCACCACCGCCGCCGCCTGGATGACCGCCACCGCCGCCACCTCCATATCCGCCACCACCACCGCCACCAAATCCACCGCCGCCACCAAATCCACCACCGCCACCACCACCACCGCCTCCATGTCCAAAGAGCAGCTTCTTCTTCAGCTGCAGCAGCGAGGGCGTGGCCAGCGCCAGGCAGCTGCTAACGAGCAGCCAAGTCAAGAGCAGCTTCCAGTGTTGCATCGCAGATCCGGCTCGCCTCTGTTTCTCTATGTGATGCACTTCGATGTCGACGATTTCAAGCAACTGCTGCTGGTCAACTAAACAAACTTTTGCTCATTCCCGGCTAATTTATAAAGGTTCTCAGCTGGGGCTGCCTCCCATTGTATTTGGCCCGTTTCGAAGTCGTCATCCAAAGCGCATTTTTCTCGCCGGATGCACTGAAACTTGCATCACGTATACAACAACAACAACTGCAACAATAACAACAGCAACAACAACGGCAAGTAGCAACTAAATGAAGCGAGTCTAGGTCTAACTGGCAACAGGAGCCGCTACAGTTGAAACCCCAAATAACTAACAGTTATTTGATTTTCAGTTAATTGGAAACAGTTCATAAATTTGTTCGTAAATTTATTCATCTTTAACCTTTTCATTATCAATCAGAAGGTGAATGAATTAATTCGTACAGGAGTCTTACTAGAATTCCATACATCTTTATAAATGTCGATGAAATCAGAAGCCGAAGTCTTAGAGTCTAATTAGAATTCAGTATATATTGCTATGAATGAAAGTCAATTATCATGTTATTCAGTCATTCACCCAGCAAGTAAGCTAAAATCAGTCAATCATTGAATCGATCAATCACTTTATCAATCAACTATCAAAAACAAAAAACAAAAAAAAACTAAGTCAGTGTCTCTGCAATCAATCAACCTCTTCAGTTAATGATGAATTTGATCATATGAGAAATATTACTCATACGCCCCATTAGCAGAGATTCGGTTAGCTCAGCTTAACTAAGCAGCTCGTTTAATGTAGCGCATTTCGACTAAATAAATTGTTCCACAAGTAAAATCTATCATAATTAATTACATGCATTGCTTACCTGGTAAATCCCACTTGCTCATCATTCCCAAACAGAAAACATTTTACGAATATTTGAATGCAGTCTCTACATCGCTCTCTCTCTCTTTCTCTCTCTGACTCTCTTCTTTTGTCTCCCTATCTCTTGTTAATTTGCAACTAGTTTGCCTGCGGATATCCATTGAATATGCAATAATTTCTTGTTATTCACAATTTTAGTTTTATAAATGACTTTTTTGTCATCTTAATGTTAGACTTGCTGTCAAACTTGACAGCTACTTTGTTCTAACTGTGATATTTAAATACTTTAGCCTCTACATATGATTTCTTCAGCAATACTCAGCATAGATCTTAGCTGAACTTAGCTGAATGAGTCATGATTCAATTATGGCTGCATCACCTAGTCGTGTATACCCGGCGTCAATTACACAAATGAGCAACTGTTGTTGCATTCATCGCCGTCATCTTTAGGCAGGGACTCCACCCACTTGCCAATCGCAGCCTAATTAAAAAACTCTCAAATAAAATGAGACTTTAAATTATTCCAGAAATTCCCCTAGAGCAACGCTTCAATCGGTTGCGCCCAATGGCATAATGAAATATGATGATGATCTTTAGAATGGAGAAGGAAAGATCTTATAGTCCCCTTGCAAATACTATACTATAGGAAATACACAAATCTGAATGTGATTATATCGATCCGGAAGTTTGCAATAGATAGATAGTATGTTCTCCTATATGGATTACAGTTCAAAAATACAACGAGCATGAATGCAATTTGTGGAAAAACCCGGAGTATGATAAAAGGAAAACAAATTTTTAGTTATTTCATAAAATATATATAGGCATGTTTTTTTTTATTTTTATTTTTATGACATTTTGGAATGATTATAATGTAGTACATCATATTGTATGTATGTGTGTTGGTGTGTATGGGTTATATGTGTGTATGCGTGTGTGTGGCACAGTCCACGAATTACAACTAGAATAAAGTCTAACTCCATAAACTCGCTGTGTGTGTGTGTATTTGATTACATTCATTTTCTTGTTTTTAATTTTTTTTTTTTTGCATTTTGTTACATTTCTTTTTAATTTTTTTTTTTTTTTTTTATTTAAATTAATTGTATGTAATTTATTTATAATTTTCATCTTTTCAGATTTTTGGAGAGGAAAGTTTCAGTTTTTTTTTTTTTTAGTTTTTTTTTTTTTTTTTTTTTTTTATCGCTACATAGGCACGTCAGTTCTATTTGTTGTTGTTTGCATTTGTTTTTTTTTTTTTTTTTTTCTTGTGGATTGTTTTTTTTCTCTTTTCTTGCTTTGCTTACAAATAATGTTAATAATACATGTTTTTTATTAATTTTTGTTTTCTTTTTAATTTTTGTATTGCATACAAAAAAAAAAAATAGCTGGAAAAAATACGTTTGAATAGTAAACAGAAAATACTAACTATATACACATATCTATAAGTATATATACTATATATCATGTATATATAGGGGCGTGTTTGTGTGTGTGTTTTTTGGAGGGGGTTTACAATTTCAAATTACAAAAATACTAAACTATCGATAGACATTTATCGATAAACACAATCTCGCTCAGTTAAGAGAGCTCATAGCTATTCACTCTCTTCCCTCTGGCTCAATCTCCTCCTCTCTCTCTCTCTCCCTATCTTTCTCGAACTCTATCTCTGCTCTTCATTCGATAGACCTTAGTTATAAAGAAGCTAAGCTGCAAATACAATCGCCTTGACGATCAAAAAATAAACTATATTTTATATTTATGTATTTAAATCGTAAATATGTACTGTAAATAAATAGAATTCTCAGTATTTTTTTTTGTATTGTAAGTGTTGTTGTCTTCTTCGTTTCATATCTCTTTTGTTTCTTGTTTTGTTTTTGTCTAATTGGCTAATTAAATATTGTTCGCTTGTCTTAAATGTGTGTATGTGTGAGTGTTTGGGTGTGTGGGGGGGAGGGGGAGGTCACATGGGGGTACATAATATCTAAATGTTTTAACAATTTCAGCTATTGCACTCTAAAATTAAAAGAAAATAATTAAATAAAATATTTTTAAAAAATGCTGCCTTTCTATTCGCTTCTCAGCAAAAACAAATTACATTTTTAATATATTTTGTTGTTGTTGCTCTTGTTGTTTGTTATTGTTGTAATTGCACTTGTTATTGTTGCTGGTAGTTTTTGTATTTTCGTTTTTTTTTTTTTTTTTGTATTTTATCTCATGTTTTTTGTTGTGTAACTTTAGGTTGTTGTTCTTGTTATTAGTTATTATTGTTGTTGTGTTGTCTCTAGTTTCGCTTTCATTTGTTCCAATTATGCATAATTTAATATAATAATAATAATAATAATAATAATGATATTTCACTAAAGTTAAAATTCAGTACTTTAATAAATTGCAAATTGCAATCTACATAAATATGTGTGTGTGTTTATGTGTTTTGTAATGTCTTGTATATAGCCTTCTTTTATGAGCTAATACAAAAAAAAAATTATTTATATATATATATATCTATATAGACATACATATATCTACCAAAAGTTGTAAAAAAAAATAAATAAATGTTCAGTTAACATTAACCATTCACATTCACATTGACATACAGCATTGTTGCTTTAGTATGTTTGACAGTATTTAATAAATACTAGTGTATTACAATATTTTTAGTTAAATTATTAACGGCGCCAGAGTTTAAGAAGTCCAAAATGTTTCAACTAACGACTAAAACAAATTGATTAAATAATAAAAAAAAAAAATTTTAAAAAAATACCGACATTTAACAAAAATTAAAAAAAATATATTACTTATACAATATAAAAATAAAATGCAAAAAGAATAAACCAAATAGTTTTTGCTTGATGTTTTGGAATGACCGCTTTGCGTGTGTATGTGTGTGTGTGGATGGGCGTGTACATGTGTGTGCGTATATGTGTGTGTTCTCTTACATTCTAGGAATGCATAGCATAGAGCTGCTATATGTATTTCACTATAGATCTAATACAAAAAAAAAGTATATATATATATATACATATATATATATATATGGTCTAGAATACATTTGATGTAGTTGAATGCAGCGCACGATTTGCACATTTAAATACTATATAAAAAATACAAATTGTTGTTGTGGATTTTGTTACTGCTGTGCATGTGTGTGAGTGTATCGATGTGTGTGTGTGTGTGTGTGTGTGTGTGTAATACTTAAATAGTTAGGGATAGTGCATTGGGCGGGACCGGGAGGCATTTGTCGTCGTAATCATAAAATGTCAAAGTTAACATTATCGTTATCGTTAAAGTTATCGTTAATGTCACTGTCATCGCTATCGATATTGTTATCGTCGTTAATATTAGCTGCATCATTTCTGCACTCAATGTTAACGTGACAGGTACTGGCAACATCCTTGGCACAGTTACCGTTATCGTCATCGTTATCGTTATCGATACTCTTAACAAAGATTGCAGTCATCTGTGATATTATCGATTCGCAATCTGCAGCTGCTACGATGAATGTTATCGCATTGAAAATATTTTGCTTGTGATCACTTGATATCGTTATCGATATCACGCTCAAAAATTGGTCATTTGTTATTGGTAATTGTATTGTCAATCGATCGACATCGAATAGCATAATAGGAATGTCTATGCCACTGTTGGCGACTGTATGTCATTGTCAGCGTTATTGTTATCGATATTTTATATTTTAATGTTTTATCAATTTTGATTTTGTTTTTACTCAATTTGGTTTTTGCGTTGTTCAATGGGTTATTAACTAACGTTTGAAAGTTCACTGTTATCGTTATCGTTATCGCCCCAGCTCAACAGTCCCCGTCTGATTTATCGACTATCGATGACCGGCATCTAGCGCGTAAAGGCACTGAGAAAATGTGGCCCACCCATATCGAACTGCTGCTGCTCAAAGACATCGTCGACCATGCCCCCGACCCCCGGCACATTCACCCCATTGGGCAGACCGAAGTTCGCCCCATTGGCCGCCAAAGTGGCCGCAGCCGCCGCCACAGTGGCCGCCTTCAGTTGACTAATCGCCAGCATTGGCGGCTTATCGCCGGGCTTCCAGCGACGATGGATGCCCATCGACTTGAGTTTCTGACAGACGGACGACGGCGATATATTGATGCCCTTCTCGG